TGTATTGTTTAAAATCAAAGGAATTCATCAAATATATCTGTCGATGGGAGAACCTTGACTTTACTCTCTTCTCCAAGAGTTCCAGGATATCCTTAAAAAACAAAACAAGAAACCCCCCCCCCCACACACAGACACACTTACTTCTTAGTTTAGAAAAAATTGCACTAAAAAAGGGGAAGGATATAGCATAAAAAATAATTTTTACGTTCTCAGGTTTAAAGTGTTCTAACAAGACAAGACCTTTGCTAATTATTATAGCTGACGTGCCTTAAAATGCCTAACAACTAGCCCTTTACCCAAATCATGTGCTGCACTACATCATACAGGATAATTAGTTGCTAGGATACTCAGCAAATTTCTCCATAGCTTATGTAAATATTTCAGTTACTTAGGTCTGCATTCAAGATGTTTCAGCCTATCATGGCTCTAGACAAGTTGTCTAGTAGATATGTAGGTTGGCAGCTGTCATTTCACATGCCTTTTGTCAGGCTGAAGGAACCTAGTTTAAAAAAGATCTTAAGAGCAAATACTTATCTTTTAAGATTGTCACACAGCACTAAGCAAGTCTATCATCAAATTATTGCTGCAGAGAGTAGAGAATAGCTCACTTTTCTCTGAAGAGGCAGCAACAGATCAGCGTAAGCAGCAAGCTGTGGTACTTGTCCATTTAGAGAAAGGAAGTACTATTGAGAATAATTATACTCTTCGTTTTTAGGATTTTGGGGAGGGTCTTTCTGGTTTGGGGTTCTTTTCTTGTTTTTTACTTGCAATAAAAAAGGTCTTGTTAAGAATACTGAAATCTTTCACCAAAAAATTTAGAAGTCACATGCAACAGGATGACCAGCGATAAAACGCCAATTCCAAAGAAACCAGAAAAGCATCAGCTATCACCACAGCCACGACACAGTCTCTGAAGACTCTGCCTTAATTGGATTCAAAATCAGTGCAATATGAGAGGTTCTAAATTATGGATAATGAGAATACCAGACTCAGGACAGTAATGAAGCAAAAGAAGAGCCTGTGATTAATTGATCAAAACCAAAGCCCACTATTAACTTCTAGTAATTTACCCAGCTAAACGTCACCCAAACCAAACCAACCCCAGATTTAGGCTCTGATGAAAGATTTTTAATTATTGTTCTTGCCATAAACTGGCTATCTTCACAACCAATCCACTTTAGTGGGAAAGAGAGTTATCATTTTTATAAAGTATCAGCTCCCATAGTGTTAGAAAGCAATTATTTCATGGTATACACATGAGCGGTCCACAGTTCCTTGTAACGTCATTCTAAGAACCGCAGCAAGTTTAACACGGATCATAAATCCCTTTTGAACAGGCTAATATCACAGCAAAAGTGCTCTACTGAAGCGTTTGCTTAAAAACATTCCTTAACCTCAGAACAGTGATTTGAACACTAAGTTAACGCAAGTCTGTTCTTATCAACTGGTGACCAAGAAACTGAAACGCCCAGAAGCCCTTTCGAGGACCGAGTGACAGTATAATACAAGACAGCCATATTGATAGATATGGGTCTTCTGTGGTAACACAGGACAACAGTTCTTTATCCTCTTATAAACGTAAAACTGCTTCACTGGTAAAACTGAAGGCTTTGCAGTTTTTCAGTCATCTAAATCTGTTTTCAGCACTGAAGTAATTTTTTTTTTTTTAATTCAAGAGTCTGATAAACAGATAGAGAAAAGTCTCCTAGCAAATTAAGTAAAGTTCCAGGAGTGGGGAAGGGATAACATTCCAGTTAAGACAAGTCTCTTAAAAATAGCTGAAAACTTTCAACAAGAAAAAGCAATTTCTTACCTGTCTGCATGTAAGTCCAATAACTGTTACTGGAGTCTGTGCTGACTGGGATATATCAAAGAGGTTATACAGCAGCGTCTGATTCTTGTGATGAACAAACAAGTCAAATTCATCCAATATAAACAAGACCGGACAACTGCTAGTTCGATCACCTGAGATAACAATTAAAAAGTCATCATTGACATGGTAACTGCATGATTATCAAACTTTCGTCTTTACAGCTTTTACGTATTTACGCTTTAACCAGTTTATATATTTTTTTTTTAGCCATTTCACTAGCGTCTCCTTTCACATACATATTGCTACAAGAGTAAAAAGAAAAATACACAGGAAAACCGGTGGGGTTTTGTACTCTTCTGGCAGATATCATTTCTGAGTGCCAAGGAAGACAGACCCCGACGGCCGATTTTTAAAAACGCTATTGTTAACAGATACAATCTGGATAAAAGAACCTGTCCTTCATAGCTGACCATCACATGCAAGTCCTCATGGCATCGTTTAAGTTAGGTCTGTATTCGGTTAGTATTACAAGTCTTTTACGTTATTTTACAACTACAATACATTCTTGAGCAAGATTTTCTTATACAACTTGTACAAGTAGATGAAGAAACTGTACATGTAAAAAGAGATGAAAGAAGCATGATACGCTAATTTTTCAGTCAACTGACAAACAGAAACACATATTATTCCAGAACAGAGGCCAGCAGTGTGTTTACCTTTCCTTAAAGCTTCAAGCAGGAACGCAAGATTTTCAGCAAAACTGCCCTAAACAGACAAAAAGTTTCACAATAGGTTTTCAAGGTTGTTCTCAGAATACCATATGACTACATCAAGTTCAGGCATACAACAAAGTCCATTTCCTTATAAAAAAAGCAAGCTGTTCTCAAAAATTTACGATGTTACTTCATGTTGCATAATAACCACCTCTTCTAATAAGCAGAGAAAACTGTTAACTCCACACTGATTCACTTTTTCAGCCTGAAACCCCCAACTATCTGCCTCAGATAGGCAGAAATCATGATCAGAAGAACCTCTATTATGTAAGAATGATAAATATGCAGCTGTTAAATTTGGAACATTATGAGATAGATGGAAGCATCACACATCTTCATGATAGAGTTAGCAATGACCAATGCTATGACCATTCTACTTCATTTACCCATTTCCCAAGTTGTACTATGAAGAGATGGGAAGTAGCTATAATTGAAGACCACAAGCCCTGTTGTAGAAGACAGAACCATCAATTTAAAACTCTTTGAACTCGTTTCAGAAGCTAAGAAAGCAAAAAAGTTTCTATGGACAGAAGCAAGGACGTTCCTGCAAATCAGTATGTTTCCATGCATGTGCGCAGCAGAAAGGATTTAAGAATATAAAGTAGGATGCAAGAATAACAGCGTTAGGAGGAAAAAGAAGTCGGGGAAGTTCGCCTATCCTAGTCCAGTTTTGTCTGTAGCTTGTTTTGGTAGTGGAACTGTAGAACTTGAAAGGTTGTTCTAGTTCTCTGATGAAAAGAGAACATGTTCAAAAGGTTTTGCTGAAATTAAATACTTGCTGTTTCATTTTATTACTGCAGTTGTTTGGGGGAAAATTTTTGCTCAGCACCAGGAACAGCTTTCCATTCTCTGCATCTAATATCATCTGGAATAAGGTATGAATATTTTCAGACGTCAGGAAACTAAACACAGCAAGCATTTCCAAAAGACAATAAAGCCTAATAACTATAATCCACCACTTATCTTGTATTCCACACTGCTTATTTCCCACTTCTCTCATTTCTCTTACCTAAATTAACAAAGTTTTGCCCCTTTAGAAACTCTGTAAATGTAAGTGATGAAGAGAAGCCTCATCTACTGAAATTTCATCTCCCCCCCCCATTACAGTCCTGCTCTCTCCACTTGGATCCATATCATGCATGGGTCACAACTATGCACCTCTGCCAATCTCAGGGAGCAAAGGAGCAAATGATGCTCAAAATGATCTTCCATCACACCAGAAGATGGCCTCTCAAGAACACTCACTGAATAACAGGCAACAATCAGAGTAGCTCAGAAATCAGCAGATCGCTAGCCCAAGTTATTTTAAACTCAAATTACTGAAATTTAATCTGAAGCACTTAAATTATTTTCTTCACTGACTTCAGAACTAATGTAAACAGGTTTCTTCTTTGGAAAAAGGTCTATAGAAGTAAGTATTTTAATAAAGATCTTATGCAAAATGAGAGCTCTAGGAAGGCAGTGGTCTGGACAGATTTCCCT